GCCCCCCGGGGGCCCCCCCGGGGGGGGCCCCAGGGGGGCCCCCAGGGGGCCCCCCAGGGGGGCCTCCTGCGCAGCAGCTGAGGGGGACCCGCGGGGGGGGGCCCCCATCAGGGGGCCCCTCAGGGGGTGGGCCTCGGGGGGGCTTTTGGGGGAGCCCAGGGGGCCCCCCGCGGGAGGAGGAGGAGGCATGGGCCCCCGGTGGTTTGGAGAGATTTAGAACTCTTCTTTGTTGCGTTTCCGAGGACTTTATTAGGTTTTAAAATTAAAAAGAAAGTGAAGTGGAAGCTGGCGAAGAGAAAAGACGATTTGGTTGTCTTTGGAAGTTGCCTTGCGGCTGTCACCGCGGCAGGTGTGCAGACAGCGCGGAAACGAGCCGGGCCGGGCACATTGGACAGCCACGCCGGGGAAAAGAGAGAAAAAGAGAAAAAGAGAATAAATTAATTTAATATAAAGAGTTTTAGTGGAATTTTGCAGAACAAACGCCGGGCTCGCCGCTTCTGGCTGTTTGAGCGCTGCCAGCAGTCCGCTGTCCGTACACCCGAGCCGCCCGCAGCCTCATGCTGCCCTCCGACGCCGTTTCCGCTTTTCTTCCAATTCAATTCATTTAATTCTTCAAAATAAAACTCAAATGCAGAAAAAAAGAGAAAACAAAACCCCCAAAAAGGGCGGAAGGCTCCGCACGCCGCCGCAGGCGCAGCCGCCACCGCCGTCTAGCCGCCAGCTCCCTCTGCGCTGTTTTGCCCGATTCGACCTCTTTTAACCCTCAAATAATCCACTTTTCAAACTCCAAAAACACAGTTTTACATTTATTCCGCAAAAACCCACAAGATGCTGCTTCGCAGCTCTCGATTGCATGCATGCAGCTGCTGCAGCTGCGGCAGCTGCAAGTGCAGCGGCTGCAGCAGCCGCAGCTTCAGCGGCAGCAGCACGCTTGGCAAGAGGATATGTGGGGGGTTTTGACGGCATTTTTCACCTTTTTACCGAATAAATATAAATTATAGTTTAAAACATAAATAAATAATTCATCAAATGCCATTTTAGTCCATTTAGATCCTCTTTTCCCTGCTGCTGCCCGCCGCGCGTGTTGCAGCGCCTACCGAAGGCACACTATTAACTACTTGGAGTTCAATTAGTTGAATTCAATCGATTTGATTTAATTGATTTAATTCAATTTATTTTATTTATTTTATTTTACTCAATTTGAAGCAGCTAGCTGAGCCGTGCCCCTACAAACCCATCCCAACAAAAGGGTCTAGGGTTTAGGGTTTAGGGTTTTCAGAGGCTGCGCGGCAGGTTGAAACTCTCTAAGAAAGACACTGGGGCAGGCAGGGCTGTCGCTTGCCAGCTAGCTGGCTAGCTAGCTAGCTAGCTAGCTAGCTGGCTAGCTAGAGCTAGCTCAATGGCTAGCCATCGAGCTAGCTAGCTAGCCAGCTAGCTAGCTCGATGGCTAGCTGGCTAGTTGCTGGCTAGCTAGCTGGCTCGATGGCTAGCTAGCTAGTTGATGGCTAGCTAGCTAGCTCGATGGCTAGCTAGCTAGTTGATGGCTAGCTAGCTAGCTCGATGGCTAGCTAGCTAGCCAGCTAGCTTGCTAAGTATGGAAAAGGCCAGTAAGCAAACGAACAAATGACAAATAAACAAATTGAACAAACAAACAGACAAACAAACGAACAAACAAACAAATAAATAAATAGGTAAATAAAAAAATAAATAAATAAATGAATAAATAAATAATAAATGAATAAATAAACAGATAAATAAACAAGCAGATAAATAACTAGTCCTTTGCTGCTGCTGCATCTGTCTTCTTTAAACAACAGAAAATTAAAAAAGACACATTATTTATTTTATTTGAAATTAAAAAAACAAAACAATTATTTTTATTTGCAAATGAATTAAAACAATTTTCAAAGTTTTGTTTAGTTTTGTTTTCCTTATTTGCAAAAAACAATTAATTTAGATAATGCATTTATTCAAATAGTAAAATAAATATAATTAATTTAAATAATGCATTTGTGCAAATAGTAGTGCAGACTATTTGTTTAAAATAATATACTTAATTTAATTAGTGTTTATAATGTTTTAATTCTTTTGTTTACTAATTAAAATCTTAATGCACTTATAAAAAATAACAATAGAGATTATTTGTTTAATATAATAATTATTATTTATTATTATAATTTTTGTTTTATTGAATTTAATTAATTTAGATAATATATTTATGTAAAAGGTAATAAAGGAAAAAAGTAAAAATATATTTTGAATAATACACTTAAAATAAAGTATTTATGAATAATAGTAGTATAAGTGATACATTATTTAAAAATATAAGTAAAATAGATAATGCAATTTTAGAAAATGAGATGAATATATATTGTTTATTTAATTACAAAATAATTTCAATGATTTATTTATATATAATACACTTAATAAAAATAATAAACTTTAGTTTGGTGCTATTAACAATATTTATGCAGAGTATAATTGATGTAAATAATTCATTTTAAAATGCAATTAATGTAAATAATGTGCTTGCAAATAATTCAATTAATTTAAATGATTAATTTAAATAATACACTTTACTTTATGTAATAAATACAGCCAAAACATTTATATATAAAATACTAAATATAAATAATATATACATATACATATAAGTATTGATATGCAAATAAAACATATTTAATATAGATAATATTTTTTATATAAAATATGCTAAATAAAAACTAAAACTAATTAAAAGAAGCTTTGATAAATTAAAAAGATAAATGAGAAGAGATACACAAAACTAATAATACATTTCTCTTTATTTTGCTTGAATTGTAAAAAGTCAAAAAAACTTAAAAAGGCTTCTTCACCCCATTTGCAGTGTGTGTACAGCGCATACATGCGCTGTACATACACTGCAACTTCCACGAAAAAGGCGGGAAAGAGTATATACAGCGCAATCAAGAACTCAGGACCATTAAATAAATTAAAATGTCAATTAAATTAGCAATTTTGAGGACTTAATTTACAAAAATAAAATGAAAAAAGATTAAAAGTACTTTGAAATCCGCGGCTGCCAGCAAAAGCCTATTTAATGGTATTTTTGGCGCGGGAGAAAACCCGAGTGTATGTACACCTCAGCGCTGCTCTTTGTGCGGATCTGCAGTGTATGTACACCTCAGCACGGCGCTGCGGGTTTTCTTGAAGAGAGAAATGGATTTAAAGAGGGTTTAGGGTAGTGCAGAAAATGCAAAAAGTACAAATTAGTTGAACTATTTTGGCATTTTCTGATTTCTAAGTTGGCTTTTAAAGAAGAAAAAGATTAAAAGAACTAAATAATTCGTTTTGCCTTTTCAGCCAGCCGCCTGGGCTGTTGAAAAAGGAAAGTTGAACTTGAAAAGAAATTAGAGTGCTGGGGATGCATGCACCTGTACATACACTGCAGCTGCAGCTAATCGCGCACATTAAAGGCGATTTTCTCCGTCTTTTTCGGATGAATAAAGGAATTTAAAATGAATAAGAATTGACGGAGACTGCATGCGCATATTTACTGGAAAAAGCGGCGAAAAATAAATACTTTATACCTGTCAGGTGCAGCAAATGCCCCCTGTGCATGTGGAGGTTTCGCTATACATGGGGTGTACATACACCTGAAGTTGGCGGTCAGCGCATGCAGCCCCGTCATGAAACAAAGAAGAAGTTCAAAAGCGGTAAAAGGAAGAAAAAAGAAAATAAATTAAAAGCGAACAGGAACAGAAAAAGAAATTAAAAGTGGAAAAGGAAAAGAAACACAAATACCCTTTCCACCACCTTGGGGTGTCTACACCCCGGAGCTCGCGGGCCGCCCGTCCCGGATCGGGCGTCTCGCCGGGAAACGAGAAATAAAAGAAAGAATATAAATAAATAAATGAATTAATTAAATTAATTTATAAATAAATAAATAAATTAATCAATTAATCCTCGATTTAGTCCATTCCACTCGCGAAACGCCTCCCGGCAGCTACCTGGCGGCCGGGGGGCTCGCGGCGGCCGCTGCTGCTGCTGCTTGCGGCGGATCGCCCGCATGCTGCTGCTGCTGCTGCTGCTGCTGCGGGTGGTGGTGGTGCTGCTGCTGCGTGCTGCTGCTGCTGCTGCCGCCCGGAAAGAAGCAAGCTTGAGGCCTTATCAGCAGCAAACAAGGCCGGAACCTCGAAAGCCTAAACTGCTGCTCGTCCAAAATCTGCAGCAGCTTCTCTTTGTCTTCTTCCAACACCAAACCCTTCGAAGCTGTGTCTTTCACCAGCTGCAGCAAAAACAAATACTAAATAAATAAAAAAAATGAATAAATAAATGAATAAATAAATGAATAAATAAATGAATAAATAGTAATTAATAAATGGAGGAATGAGTAAATTGGTGAATGCACTATTTATTAAGTTGCAGTCCGATGAAGCGCCGATAGAC